TTATACAAAAATTTTCTCACAATAGTTTTCCGGGAAATGAAAATCTCACCCCGTTGAGGACTCACCGAGACCAGCCCCGCGCGCGCCACGGCCAGCTTGGAGACCACCCAGCGCCACGAGTTGCCCGCCCAGATGGCCACCCGGTCGCCACGCCGCAGGCCGAGGCGCAGGAATCCCGCAGCCAGCCGGTCAGACTACAAAGAGAAAATAAAAAATAAAAAATAAAACTTATTCTTAAAATACGATGGGCCACGATCAGAAACCTGTGCCACGCCACGAGTAATTTAACGACGAATGCAATGATATATCCCAAACTGTGATTAGTTTGCTCTTACAGAAAATATTTTGAAAACAAATTACAATGTGCATTTCAACATCCATAAAACGGGAACACCCCTGGAGAGAGACGGTGTAAATTATCACTCTTATTGTGGTGGGATCATCTAGAAAGAACGACGTCCGTCATTTGCCGTTACCGAAACGACAAAGTTCAGCCGAGGCTAGGTCTCGTAGCGCCTGGTGGGTAGGCAACACCTTGCCTGCAGTGTATGCCTGGTGGCCTACCCAGGGTCTCGCAGCAAACTCCCGTAATTCATCGAGTGAATATGAGAAATGCGAACGTTCGTTCGCGGCGGCAGTACGGCTTCCGGCTTTTTATCCATAGCTTACAGGATTCCTGTCAGAGTGCACCGCGCTCACGCATTTTTAAATACACCCGCAGCTATGAGAAAAACAGTGTCATGCGATTTTAGTGTGCGCTGTGTGAAAAGCGAGCTGGTGATAAGGTATCATCTGTAAGCAGATGCATAGAGAGGTATGGTGACTGCACATTTTCTTTGCGATACGATTTTGTGATGACCAATGCCCGACCAATGCAAAAAGAAAAAGAAGAAGAAGTATGGAATTAAGCAGCAAGTCATGAGAAAAGGGACGCGTTCTTTCAGATCACACTCTTACTAGAAGGATCACAATCGGATTTTCTTCTCACAAAAAAAAGAGCGAATTTTAGCACAACTTTAGTTGGAGAGAGAGAAGGGGAGGAGACAGGGTGGAAGGGGGTGGGGGGGAGGAGAAGGCAACACAAACCTGCTGCAGCAGATCCTCGAAGGTGAGCCGCACCCCGGACTGCACGCACACCACGGCCTCCCGGTCGCCGAAGTCCTCGGCGGCCCTGGCCGTCAGCTCTCCCAGGGTCATGTACTTCAGCGGCTGCTCGCCCGGCTGGTGCCAGTAGCTGCCCCCGCTGGACGCAGATCACGTTCATTCATCAACAATTGTCATTCGCAATGAATTATAAGGTTTACGAGAGGAACTCAGAAATGTGTTCAAAACGACTTGAAGGCAAGGTCAACTGTGAAACTCGGCCAAGCACTCAGAGCGCCTGGTGGGTAGGCAACGTCTTGCCTTCGGTGCATGCGTGTACTGCGGAGCGGCCTAACCCGAGTTTCACAGGCGTCGAGCTATCCCTGTAATTTGCCGAATGAATCTGAGAAAAAACGGTAACGGACTTTCTTCAAGGACTTACTCTCAAAGGCTTCATGGCCCCTTTTGGGTACGTGAAAACCAACAACAAGACTGATGTGTCGTAGCCCTGGCACCCGGTGTGTTGTAAGTTAAGCAGGCCACGGTGCCACAGGGTGCGAACATTTATTGCCTACGTACAGGGGCCCAGAGCTTGCTTGTCTCCAGGTGGTAGCTCACTAGAAGGGTTGGAAATTACGAACATTTTCCGGAAAATATCAGAATTTTTTTCGAAAATTTCCGGAACATTACTAAAAACTTCCAAAGTCTAAGAAATATTCCGTTTTCTCTTAAATTTTCCGGAAACTTTCGAGGGCTTCTACGCCTACTCACAAGAAACCCCCTGAAACGCCACGGCACAGGCCAGAGCACACGTCCCGGCAGGCAGCGCCCAGCGGTGCAAGGCCAGGCAGATGCAAAGCGGTCGAAGCGACTACACATGGAGGCTGATTAGAAAGCTAACGACGCCCATACAAAAAAAGAAGGGTATGGGCAACTTGAGGATCGCGGTGCCTCCCTTGGCGCCTTTCCGGTGTATTTCGGGTGCCTCTATACACTTTTAAATACCTGCAAAACAATTTGAAAAAACAACTACAAGGATTTTTGATCCTTTGTATACAACTACGAAGCATTTTACTTTGTTGTTACAAAGCGATGCTTTGCAGATGCGTGGGCCACCCTGCACCCTTGAATCACTTGAATCAAGACGCATGAACCTGAAAAATCAAGGATCCACAATGTACTTGGTCCAGTTTTTTGGGTGTGTATGGTACGGTAACATATTCTCGTAGATAATATCCATGATCAGCCTGTACCTGCTTTTCGAGTGAGGCTGTTAAGTACGGACTACGGTCATTTTCAACATGGGCCTTATCTTATGGGCACTACAGTGTATCATGAGCGCTCATGCCGTACCTCCACCTCCACAGTTTTCCGTACTCGATCCTGTACCAGGCTACATGAGGTTATTGACAGTGTCCTGGGTGTCTTTGGAGTAGCCAGCCAGCGTCTCGAGTATGGCCCCTGGCTGGCTTCGCATCGGTTGTTGCTGGCTGTCAAAATCTGACCCATACTTGGACACTTTTTAGACATTCGCGATGTCTCAAACGCCTCATCCAGACGCCCTGTGCTAGTAAATGTTCGATTCCGTTCAATCAACGATTGCCCCAAAAGACAATGTGAGGCATCTTTCGGGCAACTTTGGGAAACCACCGCGGGCAGCTTTGGGCTACCTCCGGGCAAACTTGGGCAACCACCGAGCGAGCACCGCTGCTGCTATAGCCAGCCTACAAGCAACAGCATTCGCGTTCACGAGGATCACATGACCTTGAACAGGGTCGCTTTTGAGCCTGAACAAAACACGCTTATTTACACGCGCGCCATCGTGTCAAAGCCTCGACGGTCCCCGACATTACATTAGCTGCCATTAGCTTGGTCATTCATGAAATAGTAATCTGCGAGAACACAAACATAACGACCCACACACGACGCGAGACGCGACAAAGTCGCGCGCGGAGCGTCTTTTTTGTCGCTGCCCCCTGACCCCTTACTTTGTAGGCTCTGCGGCAAGGCGGCAAGGCGAGGTGGGGTCGCGGAGGTCGCGGGTCGCGGCGTGCAGGCCGCGGGCGGCGGCGCTGGGCCGCCCGGGCCCCGGGGCGGCAAGAAGAAGAGACGAGCGAGTCGTCGCCTGCTGCACTTTGCGCCCCGCGCCGCGGTCGGCGTGCGGCCACGCGCACCACGCACGGGCCGACAGCCTCCGCGCGGTCGCGGCGGTGAGCGCCGTCGCCATGGTGTCGGACGAGCGAGTGCGCGGCCCGCGGCGCCGGCCGGGGGTCCGGTCCGGGCGGCGAGCTGATGATGGGGTCCGGCGGCCGAAATATCGGGCGGCGAGCGATCGGGTTGCGATCGGCCGGCGAGGAGTACGCGGTCGGTTCTCCCGGCGGTGACGAGCCGCTCCGAACCGCTGTTTGTGGCACTGGCACTGGGTACCAAACAC